AATTTTGTTCTAGGGTTTGCATAAATTAATAATTATTTTTTATTATCCACTTCGTTAGATATTTTTATTAATTTTATAATATTTGTTGTCTCCTTATAAGATTAAGGATCGATAAAGAACATATATAAACAGATATATGAACGAACGATTGGTTTAGATATATATATATTTTTTTTTGCAGATGTTTGGAAGAACTTAATGTGAATTTCAACAAGTTGATAAAACTTCCCGACACGATAGGGTTTGAATTATCCAACCTAAGGAAGCTCTCGGTGAATTCCAACAAGCTAGTTTATCTTCCTCATTCCATCTCTCACCTTAAAAACCTTCGTGTTCTCGATGCTCGCCTAAACTCCCTCACCGCCCTCCCTGATGACCTCGAGAATCTTATCAAGCTAGAAGTCTTGAATGTCAGCCAAAACTTCCACCATCTCCAAACTTTGCCTTATTCTATTGGTCTTTTATTATCTCTAGCTGAACTCGACATTAGCTACAATAAAATCACTTCTCTTCCTGACTCTATTGGTTGTCTCAAGAGACTTCACAAACTTTGCGTCGATGGAAACCCCTTGTCGTCTCCGCCCCCGTTTGTGTTTGAACAAGGAGTACACGCCGTTAGAGAGTATTTGAGTGAGAAGATGAATACACGAAACTTAAGCTCGCACAAAAAGAAGTCATGGGTGGGAAAGTTGGTTCGATATGGTACGTTCAATGGTGGATATGGGTATTTCAGAACTAATGAGCCACGTGAGGATCGAGAAGCTTTCATGTATTCTCAATATCGCTCCATCGATGGTCTCACTTCACCAAGGTACATAGGAACGTTCGCGCCACGACGCTTCTTTTGGACTCGAGGGTATTGGACTAGATGATGCCATTGTCCATGCCATCGTTCAAAAATACAACTTTTGGGAGTGAAACATTAATATCTCTATCTTATCGTATTTTGATAGTTTTAAGTTCGAGAGAGCATCAAGAGAATACGAGTTGTGTAACGGAGTATGAAGTATATATTTTATATGTATAGTCCTCTCTTTACATAACGTAGTGCCATTTGAGAGAGAGATTAGTTAATAAAATGGAGTGTAAAAGTTCATACAAACTCATGCTTGATTAACATTTTCCAAGTTACTTATTTTTGTTGGTAAAAATATTTGAATTAGTTCTTATTAATATTCTCTTTAATCCTTATTAGATATCAATGATATAAACGAACGAGTGATACATCTTACCATTGAAGCATATGATTTCAGAAATATTTTGAAATTCTTTACTTTTGGAATATATACGTATTCTTTCAGGTCGACTTTATTGTTATTATTCGAACATAAAATCGGGTCGTATGGTTGAAGAACAATTTAGAAAAAATTATTAATTTTCACGTCGGAAGTGGAGTATGTTTTTGGCTTAATTAAATGTCTCATTTACCCTTTTGATAGATATGGGAATGAAAAATAAATTAAATTTTAATGAATTAAAATTATTTTAATAATCTAATTTAATAAAAAAAAAAATAATTATCAAGTAATTATCTAAAATTAAAATTAAATAATATAGTAAAATCGCCAAAAAAAAAATAAAAAAATAAAAAAATAATAAAACTAGTGTTGCCGGTACCATCGCATTTGATTTGATGGGCTATTTGTAGCGGCCTTTTTAGCCAAGTCACTAAGTGAGTCATGTCAGCTTTCCCACATCGGAAATTGGCGAATAAGAATAACGTTATTTAAACGGGAAGATGAGAGCGAAAGGGCACGACCTTACTTGAACAGGATCTGTTCTATAGGTTGTACAACTGTGTCCTTGAGTTCTAAGGAGACAAGAACCGAAGTCTGGTGGATGATTAGCTGCCTCGCGACTAGAGCGTGAATAACGGTTAATGGACCCTGGTGGTCCTGTGGCTGTAGATGATCGTTCTCGGGTAGGCTCGCCCTGCCTGGGATGGTCGCATGGCGGTCTGACAGACTCATTAACTTTTTTTTTTTTTTTTTTTTT